CCCGCCCGTAAAACTCAATAACGTGGATATTCCACAGCGTGATGCGACAAAATACTTAGGCATGCACCTCGACAGCAAGCTTACGTGGAAAACTTATATTTTCACTAAACGCAAAGCACTGGGAATGAAGCTCAGAAATTTACATTGGTTACTGAACCCGAAGTCTCAAGTCTCACTCGAGAGTAAGCTTTTACTCTATTCATGTGCTTTAATACCAGTATGGACATACGGAATACAATTTTATTTATTTTTATTTATTTCAGTCTAAAAAGTACAAACTTTCTTACAGACTAGTTAAAAATAAAAACAATTCAAGTTTAAATTTATATAAACTACTATTAAAATTAAGAACGCTGCTATATCGATTTGCTAGATGTATAGTTTTAACGATTGGTTCATTCATTGCATAATTTGTTTTATGAGTTACTTCGATAAATAATCTAGTATGCCGAAGATTACGCGGTGGAATATAGGGGATGAATAAATTAGACAAATCAGAGCATTTAATATTCGAGTTAGTTATGTTATAGGCAAACAAGAGCGAGGAACAAGTTCTTCTCTCATACAAAGCCTGGAGCCCAAGTAATTTACGTCTGCTGGTATATGATGGGAGGCCATCAGGCCAACGAAGCATACGCAAAGCGATTTTAGTAAATATTTTCTGAACTCTCTCAATTTTACATGACTGTACTTCGTAGAATGGGTTCCATATAAATGAGCAGTATTCGAGACGACTTCTTACCAAAGAAATGTAAAGTGATCTCAATGTCATTGGATCTTTAAAGTCTCCGGAATTACGTCTAATAAAACCAATCATTGCAAAAGATTTTGAAACAATAAAGTCAATGTGACTAGCGAAAGAGAGTTTGGAGTCAAATAATATACCCAGATCTTTAATCTCACAAGAACGGTTCAACGATTGAGCATTTATTTTATAGTTGAAAATAGTGGTGCCAACCTTTTTTGAATAGGAAACAACGCGACATTTATTCGTATTTAAAAATAAGTTATTGTTATTGCACCATCCGGCAAAGGAATCAAGGTCAGATTGTAAGTTACTGCAGTCAGAAATATTACGTACTGTTAAAAACAGTTTAACATCATCTGCAAACATTAAGCATTTAGCGAATTTAAATTGTTGTGGCAGGTCATTGATAAAGATAAGGAACAATAAAGGACCACAGTGAGTCCCTTGTGGAATTCCTGACCAAGCATCGATAAGCAAAGATGATTTAACGCCTCCAATTGACACAAAAAGTTTCCTATTCGATAGAAAACTGGAGAAAAATTTCAACAGTTTTCCATTGATTCCATACAATTTCAATTTACGTAGCAGAATTGAGTGATCAACTTTGTCAAATGCTTTTGAGAAGTCGGTGTAAATGACGTCGAGTTGCGCCTGAGTCTCAAAAGCATCGACAATTTGATTAGTGACTAAGGCTAAATTGGTGGAAGTAGACCTCCCAGGAAAAAGTCCATGCTGACATTCCACAATAGCATTGCTAATGTGATCGAACAGCTTACGTTGAAGAATGCGATCAAATATCTTTGCCAGGGCGCTTTGTTTAACTATAGGTCTATAGTTGCAAATATCATTACGGTCGCCAGACTTAAATATAGGATTTATTGAACATAGTTTCCACGAATCTAGGAAAGTTCCGCAGTTCAGACATTGTCGAAAGAGAAGTGCCAAAGGATCTGCAACGGTATCGGAACAAATTTTGAAAAATAACGGACAAAGACCGTCACTGTCAGATTTTGCGCTGCTTGTCAACTTTGAAATTGACAGAAGAACATCATCGACGGTAATGTCGAAGAACGAGATTGGTGGTAAAGACGAGTTATGCAATGCAGAAATTGATGAAGTGGTAAACTTTGAGTAGACCTTATGAAATAATTTAGCAAACAAATTACAGGTATCTTACGTATTATTGGACACTTCACCATCATACTCCATGCTTGTCGGGAAACCATTGGTCTTTCTTTTAGAGTTTATAACGGACCAGAAACTAGATGGATTTGATTTCAATTTCGATTCGAGTTTAAGCATGTATTGTTTAAATAGAAACTTATTAAGACAATCGAAATTCGTTTTAAGTCTTACATAGTTAAGTCGATCAACTTCATCAGTACTCATTCTATGTTTTCTAAAAGCTTTATTTTTAATATTCTTTAGGTTACTCAGTTTCGAGTTAAACCAGGGTGGTTTATTGTTTGGAACTATTCGCTTTAGAGGTACGAAACTGCAGATAGCTAACGAAAGTCGTTGTAGCAAAATAGCGTAAGAAGTATCTGGTCCAATAGAGGAGTTCAGGAAAGCCCAATCGGTGGCTAGTAAAAAGTCATTCATCCCTACACTGTCAGCACTAAAATAATTATATTCAACAGCAGATTCAGTAGGTTTTTTATCGAAGCTATAATACTTAAAATGAGCCACCAAGGCATTATGGTGAAGACTATTTTCTAAAATAGGAGACGAACACTCCGAACATGATAGTCGAAGATCAGCTGACCCAAAAATTAGATCAAGGAATCTACCATTGTTATTGGGATAAGAGTTACATTGCTTCAGGCTATACGAAAACAATATGCTTACAACTAGCATATCGATGTCCGTTCTGAGATTAGTTGGTAAAATATTATTCGAATCGCTTAGCCAAGAGACGTTACTTAAATTAAAATCGCCTAAATATATTATCTCATCAGACGGATTAGCATTATTTATTATAGACATTAAGTTGTCCATATGCTTTTTGTAGGCAGCGAGGTCGCTGCTGGGTGGAATATAAGACAATAGAAAAACTACTGTTTTATTGCCAGCAAATTTTACTCTAACACAAATTTGTTCCACATCCCCATCATAATAATTAATAGGAATAAGTTTGCTGCATAAATTGGCTCTGACCGCAAGTAGGACACCACCACCCCTCTCGAGACCAGTGGCATTAGGGCAACGATCCTTACGAAATATATGATAATAACTATCAAAAAATTCATTGGAAGAAAAATTTTCGTTCAAGCAAGTCTCAGTTAAAGCTAATATATCATATTCATGTGAAACAACACTACGATGAAATTGAGAGGATTTTGTACGCATACCACTTACATTCTGATAATAAAGCGTATAAGTTCTTCTTAATTCATTAATAGGCTTAGAAGTATATAATAAGTCGTTGACTGTCAGAACCTTAGTCTTTCGGGCTGCTGAAGAAAACGGAAGGGGCGCACCGTCACGTTCCGAATATTCCTTCAAACTTTCAAATGTTAGGTTTTGGCCGACTGGATTGGTTTCCGTTGAAAAAAACGAAATGGGCGTACAGTGACCTTAGCGGGCCAAATCTCAGGCTTGAGAAGTTTACCGAATACATCTTCAGGAACACCCAATTTGAAGTTAACCCTCTTTAAAGTATTGGTTTCGACGTCCTTTTTAACCAGACTGAAGCAGGACATGAAATCTTTACTGATTCCAGAGTGCTTTTCCACATATTGGAGGATGTCACTAGGACTAACAGTTGGCAGAAAAGAAGCTAAATGTAGCCACTTTAGTTGTGCAGCAACAGCAACGTTAAGTTCGGGGGCTCTGCAGCAACCTACAATATAGAAATACTCCAAAGATTCCAATAAAAAACTCTTAGAATGATTGTGAACGCTCCGCTCTATGTCACAAACAACCAAATACACCGTGACCTTAAAATGCCTACTGCTGCTTCCGAAATTAAAAAGCACGCCTTGGCGCACCGACAAAAAATTCATGATCACCCAAATCCTCTTATTTCTACACTCACTTCTCATATAGTGTCATTCCAGCGCCTTAAAAGGAAATCAATATTAGATCTCTAATAACATTGAATACCTGCGAATAGAATATGGTTGCGCCGCTCTATGTCACAAACAACCAAATACACCGTGACCTTAAAATCCCTACTGCTGCTTCCGAAATTAAAAAGCACGCCTTGGCGCACCGACAAAAAATTCATGATCACCCGAATCCTCTTATTTCTACACTCACTTCTCATACAGTGTCATTCCAGCGCCTTAAAAGGAAATCAATATTAGATCTCTAATAACATTGAATACCTGCGAATAGAATATGATTGCGCAACTGGGTGTACTCCAATCATGATTATTTTCTAATTTAGTATTTAAGTTTCAGATATTGCTTAATGTTAAAAAGAAAAAAAACAGATCGCAATAAAAATATATGAGTTCAAAAACAAAAAAATTTTAAACCGAGCTGGGACTGCTGCCTTTTTTAATCTTTTATAGTCCACTTTTTAAACCAGTCAATAGTTTTAAGGAGTTTTTAATATATTCTGGTTTAAATTTTAGTCCAAGCAGCCGAGAAAATGATGGTTTTGCTATGAGTGGTTTAAAATTAAAACCAAAAAGTTCGTAGTTTCAAATATAGGCCCTATTTGTTTAAAAATCAAACCAAAATGTTTTAATACTAGTTTCTAGGTTTCATAATAGAAATTGTTTGGGTTTAAAATTTAAACCGAACTGTTTAAATTCTAAACCCAACTCTCTTTTTTCTTAACTTGAAAGGTTTGTATTTGAAACTAAATTTAATTTGGTCATATGTGTAGTCCAAAAAGTTTAAAATTTAAACCGAAATTTTTAACCGTGCAGGTCTCTAGCAATACCAGATTAATTGTTGTCTTTCACGATGTTCTTTAAATAAATTTTGAGCTAAATACTCACCCGAATTTCGGGGGTTACTACCTTTACGATATATAAAAAAATTTAAAAGTGATAATTGAAAGAGTTACAAAAAATTACAAAAATTTTGCTGGCCGAGTCAGGGTACATTCCTATAAGAGGTCTTTTGAATTCCCTAATTAAGCATTTTTTATAGTTTACATATGGGAACCACAGAAAGAAGCTTCGCGGGCGAATCCTTTAATTAGTCTTCCTAGGATTTTAAAGCATATTATTTTATTTAAACACTTATTTTTTTGTCTAGCGTGTCTGTAATGGAATATGTTTTGCATCTTATTGATTTCAGACACAGTCAGCTTTAATGTTTGATTCTGTTTACACTTTTGCGGCTGCTCTAGTGGAGATGAATCGAAGTCATTTATTAACACCTCATAACATTTCTTGTGCGGCCGAAGATCCCTGGGATAATGGACTATCGCTTTACAACTACATAAGTTCGGTATGTATGTAGTCGGCCGGACATTTTTGATACTAACACCTATTATGAATTTTCATCCGATAGACGATAAACGCCTGCAAGCGTATCGTATAAAATGAGTTTTCGTGCTATGGTTTCCACACGCCCGATAGATGTATTATTGTAAATAACAGTAGTACTTGTTTACTACTTGTTGTGAATTTAAATAAAACAGCTTGTCTAGCTAATTTTTTTTTTGTAAATTTTATTGTGGCTTATTAACATTTTTAAAGCAAACATTTTGTACTTAAAAGTCGCGAAAATTTCCACAAGGCAATAAAAAGCTAAGAGAAAAATGTTTCCTTCAACCATTGCGTTTTATGTAAACTCAAATGAATAAATTGATGAAACAATAAGAGATGCTTCCAATCCTCTGGAGACAGAACTAGGGACACGAATTTCGATACGATACGATACCATATCGATACTTTTGGCATTCGATACCGATATTTTCGACTCGATAGTTTTAAAACGATATTTTTTGAATCGAGTACCAGAACCCTAGTATCGCATCGAATGTCATAAACTCAAATTATAAGGACAATGTTATTAACAATTCTTCCCGATATGAATTGGGCTTTTAAGGGCAGAAATGTGTAATATAGTTAGGATTGCATGTGATGGAATTTGAACCCGCGACCTCGGTGGTTTAAGACAACACCTCAATCTGTACATGTTGTTACACAATATGTTAGTGTTTGACCGAGATTCTCCTCAGATTTGTCAAGTGCGCCTTAAGTTCTGAACACATTAAAAATAAGGAGCTACGGGCCACAGCTTCCAATTTGTTATCTTCATTGTCTAAACGCTTTGTCGATGACGACATGATTTTTTTGAATGCGTCGGCGACATCATGAATTTGTACGAGTTTGACATAAAAGAAGAGGAAGAACCTTATCTGTCGCTGGAAAAATAGAAATAGATCTAATCAGGCCACAACCACAGACGCCGCGTAGCCAGGTCGGCACCAAAATAATTATCTACATAAGAGTACGTGTTAAAATAATTTGACAGCTATGGTCCATAGCTCGTCGTTTTCATTGTGTTCGGGCTATTAATATTGTGGCACAAAAGGGGACCCTACAGTTTTATGTTGACTTTGAACGGTGATTTTGTTTTAATGGGAGGCTGTTTTTCATTTTCAGGTTTTGAGCACTTCTAATCATTACACCACAGCGGCCTATATATCGTGTCCCTAGACAGAACACCTTCTAAATTGGCAGCCTTAGGCAGCGTTTAGAAAAATAACCATCATCAGACCCACTCCGGCTGCGCTGACCACAGTATTTTGGCTCAGGTCCCACTTCGAAATTTACAAAAAAGTGCAAACCGAAGTTATCAATAAACTAGTGCTCGGAAATTCGAAGACTTTACTTTAAATTAAAGTTTGATCCTTATATGTGTATGTTACAGCTTTTAGATTCGGGTCAAGCGTTGGGACACAACAATCCAAAGTCATTGTATCGCATGGACAAAAAAATGGACAACCACTTGCATGCGTATGAAATTGAATAGCTGATACGATAGCTATCGTATCGGATTTCATACGCTTAAATTTAATTCGTAATACGATACAACATAATGCAATCGTTTATCGTGTATCGTATGGGTCAAGAAGTTTTCCACGACAGCCGGTTTTACGTACAATAATGACTCTGATTTTACCTGACCAAGAAGGGCTGTTGTTTCGGGGACCTAACCCCGTTTAGATCGGCAAACCCCACCAATCGTCCATCGTCCATGGAGCAATACCTGGCAGCCGCTTCCTTCTTCTCAGGGCGGGCATTGAGCCCAAACCCGGACCAGAAACATACTTCTGCTACGTTTGCCAGAGACGACTCCATCCGAACTCCACTTCGGTTAGGTTCTGATGGGTTATTTAAGAATCTGCTCATACGTTAGGTCTCACAGGAAGTGGCCCACAGGCGTTGTGGCACCCTGTTGCTCAAGCCTAACGGCAGCCACCCACCAACACGCAGCAAATATGCACGCAAAATTGTTTGATTTCTTTCTTAAATAAAATGCCAAGGGACATAGAAAATTTCCGTGCATTCCTCACGAAATTGGTAAATGAACACAAAGACAAACTGCGAAGAGACCGTAGAGTTTTGTTCTGTAAAAGCTGCGATAGAAGCCTAGACGCATCCAGGACTTCCATGCAACACGGCTTTGGCAGTTTTTTTTATACAACAAGTGCAACTCTTTGTGAACGGTCTTGCGCATTGCAAGCCCAAAAATGTTCTTAAGACTCAAATTCAAAAGTTCGAAATATGTTTAAAAATTTATTGAATTTCTCTTAAGTTTGTATTAAGTTTGAAAATTTGATTTATATTGCTTTGGATAATGTATGAACAAAATTTTTATATAACAATGGAAAAAAATTTTATCTTGAAAAACATTTTGAATATTAAAAAAAATCAACATCTTAACACTTGAAAAGTGGAATTGAAAAGTCCAAGTCAACCGAATAAAAGCTGGGTTATGCAAGACTTAGACTTGGCTTGACTAACCTAGAAACTCAGGCGCGATTACTCAGCGTTTCAGCTATTACCTTTTCCCTTTGTTTTGATTCTCAGCACTTGTATTTGTACATGTAAAATTGTAAACGTTTAATTTGTTTTAGCACCAAAATTTATACAAAATTACCATTAAAATAAATGTATTTATTATTATTGTTGGGGATAGAGCACTGCGACCTTAAGATCTATTGTGCCCCCTTCATGGATTATAGTGTGTCTATTAATCCAGTATCCGAGAGAAATTTTAGTATAGAACTATAAGTCTACGGGTTTCACTTCGCCTTTGGTTATCAGATGTTCACCCACGTGCCTTTTGCGTTTATGTATCAGTGCAGGACATTCTCCTAAGATGTGTTGTGCAGTCTAGTTTTTCATCCTGCAAAATCTGCATCGCTCATGCGAGTAAATTCCCAGTTTAGTCAGGTGATAGTTCAGCCTGCAGTGTCCTGTCAGAATTCCTGTAACAATTCTTAAGTTATTCTTTGATAAGTTCATACATTCCTTGAAGCGTTTTAGGTTATATGTTCCTAAAAGTGCTTTGGACTGCTCTAGACCTGGTAGATTATCCCAGTAGTGATTACTCTGGGCTTCTTCCTCTAGCCGAACTAGTTCAGGAGTGCCCCTTTTCCCAAGCCGCAGAAAGGTTCTGTACCGGTGAAAGGGGTTGATGCACCTTTCTTCGCTAGTTTATCGGTAATCTCGTTTCCTTTAATACCAATATGTCCCGGAATCCAGAGAACCCAAACCCGATTGCTCAGACCAAGAGTATTCAGCTTGTCGAGGCACTCCATCACCAGTTTAGATGTTGCCTGGTGAGATCTGAGGGCTTTGATAGCCGCTTGGCTGTCAGTCAAGATCGCGATGTTCTGATTCCGGTAGTTTCGCTTGATATTAAAGTCCGCGCATCTTCCTATGGCGTATGTTTCAGCCTGGAAAATAGATATATATTTCCCCATGGGTTCCGAGTATCTTAACCTCGGTCCAACTACCCCTATCCCGGTACCCTCGTCGGACAATGAGCCATCAGTGTACCAGGTAATCATGTTTTGGTTTATCCGATATGTCTCGGATATGCCTGCCCAGCTCTTCTTATTACTCAGTTCAGTCTTCAACCTCTTTGTAAAGCTGAACCTCGGATGCATGGTATCCCTCGGTATTGCAATTTCAGGGAACTTATTCGTAAGAATATCTAACTTCGCACGACCAAGATACCCTGCTGCCCCGATATTGGTACCAGTCATCCTTAGTAAAGCTCTTTTTGCCTGAGTCTGTATGTAAATATGAAGAGGGGTAAGATCTAAAAGAACCTCCAAGGATGCGGTTGGACAGGTTATGCATACGCATGCCAGCCTTTGTATCTTGGAGAGCACTTTGATTGCTCCAAGTTGTGAAGCTCTATCGGCCCAAACGATGGCTCCATAAGTTATCATGGGTCGTACTATTGTCGTGTATATCCATCTCAGTATGTCTTTGGTGTGCAGCCCCAACTCTTTCCTGCCATGGACCTACACGTCATAAATTATCTTACAGCTTTATTCGCAGTTTCTTCCACGTGTGCTTTCCAGAGTAGTTTTTGGTCTAGTGTTACTCCTAGAAATTTAACCTCTTTTTGGTACATGATGATGGAACCAACAGCCTTATCGCTTTTGGACTATCATGTTTGTATTTGCTTGAGAATGTTACTATAGTGGTATTTGCTGGATTTACGTTCAGGCCCACTTTAGCACACCATTTTTTGGTTACGTTCAGCCCTAGCTGGATTCTATCACACAGGGTGTTTTCTATTTTCCCCCTGCATAATATTACAATGTCGTCGGCATACCCCTGGCAGGTTAGTCCAGTATCTGTTAGCTCTTGGAGCAGTCCGTCGACGATTATATTCCATAGTAGTGGAGATAACACTCCACCCTGTGGATAGCCCCTTGTTGTGCCGGCAACAACTGTATTATTCGTACAGGTCTGTATTTCAACCCTTCTGGTGCGGAGCATGCAATTAATCCAGGCCACGAGGTTATTGTTTACCCCGCTGATAATCAAAACACTGTTTATTGCAGCATGTGAGGTGTTGCCAAACGTGCCCTCGATGTCCAGAAAAGCGCATATAGCAGTCTCCTTATTTTCTAAGGTATCTTGAAGTGCGCATGTCAGCGCATATAGGGCGGTTTTAGTAGAGCGGCCCGCCATATATGCATGCTGGCGCGAATTCAGCGGATAGTTCAATAAGACCGTAGTCCTTTTCTAAAGCTTTTAGTACATATGAGGTCAGGCAGATCGGCCTGAAGGATTTTGGATGAAGTGGGTCTTTCTTTCCAACCTGCGTTATGAAAACAAACTTCGCTCTTCTCCACGCATCTGGTATATAACCCAATGCCATGCTGTTTCTAATTATTTTTACTAGCGGTTCAATCACGCATTCTAAGCCCTGCTGTAGCATGCCAGGGAAAATTCCATCTGCTCCCGGTG